TGAGTTGACACGTTTTGAATATATTGGTTTCTGTAAAATAGATATATTTTGTTATTCAAAATGTTCGTCCCATCCATTCTACTTATTCGATTATTTAATAAAAGGTCGAAATATTTTAACTATACAACATTTCAATGGTTCTTTGAAAGAATGATTTGGATTATCGTTTTTTATCATATGAAGAATGATTTAGTTCATTACCTTATTATATGAAGAAGAATTGGCTGATTTACATAGTAATCAACGTCTCGAGGTCATCAGAACATAATGAATGATTGATGTCTAGAAGGCTACAAAGATTTTTGATTTGATAGTAGTTAACGTCTTGTGGACCTAAGAAGCGGATGAGACTTATTCTACCCCTTGATGAACCACTACCTCATTGAGATAAGTCAAAATTTATATTGTATCGAATACTTTTCCAAAATAGATAAATTTAAAAGTAATTTTATTATTAGAAACTCTTGTAGATAAGAATTTGGTTTTACTGTACCTTTTGGAGACACCCTTTATTTTTCATTAAAATTTAATAGTCATTTTTGTTTGTTTATTTCTATCAATTACTTTTATTCGTATAGATTTATGCGAATTTAAATACGGTGGTGTCCATTTCCTAATTTCAAAATAATTGAGTATATCCTAGTGTCCCATCCCCGACCCTTATTAATGAGCTTTAAACACTTAAACTATAACTGTAACATCAGTGGCGACTCACTTGGATATAACACATTTCTCAGAAACTCTGAAATTATCTATCATTTTTTACAAAAACTGACAATGCATGACTTCTTTTATAACTTTACCTTTTATCGTTAAGAGATTTTTACCTGCTTGAATACATGATATGCATAATCGTACTAATATGAGTGCTTTGGATATGCATAAATACCCAAAAATTTAATACACTCTGAGAAAGGTTTAGGATATATTGATTTTACTCCAAAGTTGATTTTTATACATATCTGTTTATTTTGTCCCTCTTGTTATCTTTGTTTAGACAAATATATTGCAATTTGCATTTTCTGTAATATTCCCATTATTATTAGTATTATTTTTAAAAATGATTCCTAAATATTTAAAACTCACGGGATAAATTATAAAATTTTAATCAGAAATGCTGAACTATCTTATACTGTAGAATAAAAAAGAAAGGTTTTAAGTGGTCTGCTCTCTCAAGAATCACACAACAGAAGTTTGTATGAAATAAATAATCCATACAAACATGAAGATGATATTACATAGATGGAATTGTCAATTCACGAAGTCAAAACAGAAATAGATAATTTTACTGGAAATAAATCAGACCCAGCTTTTAAACGGGTATCTAATATTCAAATAGAAACTTGAAATAAAATCCAAATTAATTATGTTAGAAGCTGATTTAGCTGATAAATTAAGTAACTATGCATTTAGGTGTAGTGCTTCAGTTGCACTACATATGTTAAAATGTCAGACACTTGTCACTTTTTAGCCAACCCTTCAATTCGTCCTAGTATGACAAAGGCTATACTCATCTCCTAAGCAACTTCTGTGGCTATGAATTGATTATTGATCATCACCATGATTTTATTTCTTAATATTTATACACGATATGTCATTTGTGCTACTAAATATATCTTATACATATCCAAAGACAATTATTTAATATGTTGGGATCAAGGGATAAACAAATTTAAAGATGCCACACTAGGTCTAATTCTACTATGGTACCTAAAGAACAAACTAGTTGTTTTTCACATACAAGTGCAGATGTTCATAAATGGGGTGTATTTTATGATGGGAAGGTTTCTTTATATGATTTTTTAGAACAACTTGAAATGTTAAAAGGAATATCTAGAGGTTTTTCAAAAGAACAAATAATAATTCAACGTAGCTCTAGTACCTCAGCAGTCATACGTAGATTGTTCTCCTTAGCATGAGTTTACTGATTATCTGTATTCTCTCATCTGTTGTCAGTGAGTTTGGTGTTTAATTTTTATCCACCTGTTCACTGCGTGTCGACCAAAGGTTTTGCTTATCCTAAACACATGACCCTTTGGCAAGCTCATCAGCCTTTTAATTTCCTTTGCCTCTAGGGAAATCTATATAACTCCCTTGATAATTCTAATTACAATAAATTAATAAATAATATGCTAAAGTCCTCATTGTTTGTCTATAATATAAATAAGGTCTAATGATACATTAATTTAACTTTTTAAATATTGACTCTTAAAGAAAAAAATAGTATGAATAAGTATATGTTGCTCAGTATAGAAGGCTCTTAATGTGTTTCGTTCAGTTTGTACATCCTCGGCTGTGTCAAACTTCTCTGTTTAACAATAAAGTTTGCCTTCTACTCCTATTAACGTAACATACTACTAAATGAGATAAAAAAAAATAATTAAAAAATGCTTACTTCTTATTTTTTAAGGATGTACGTTTTATTCTCCGTTTTGTTTTTCTCCACCACACTCACTGAATTTTAGCAAATTATTTGTCTAATATTTCTCAATGATATGAGGTATCGATTATATCTTACAGATAATGATGATGCGATCCTGATAAGTAGGTATTGATAAAATGTTTTTTTTTTATTATTAATTAATACTTAATTAATAATTATAATATTAAGTGATAATTTAGTTAGTGTCAAATATTGAATACTAAAATCAGGAGTATATAGTTAAGCTATGTCTCAACCTTTTTAGAGACACCCTTAAGAAATATAATGTTTTTTAAGATACCTATATTAATAGTTATTTATGCAACAAGTGCACTAGTGCAATAAAGAACCAGTTCTTTCTCTAAATATAGTTCAATAAAGTTTTGTTTTTTGCATGAACGTAGAAAATAGTTATTTATACAACAAGTGCAAAAAGTAAGTGTTTATTGCACGTCGAGTGCAATAAACACTTTTTGCACGAGTTGCATACAATATTTTTTCTACGTTCATGCAAAAACCAAAGTATGTTTTATTTAGGCGACACTAAGTGCAGAAGAATAAAAAGCGTAATTTAATAGCATAATATTTATTAACTAATAATTAGCATCGTTTAACATTGAAAAACTACTATAACTATGTTAAGAAAAATACATTTTTTATTAATTTATTTATTAAATGATTGAAAATAATATAAAATATGCAATTGTTTTTAAAACGTAATACAATCTCACAGAAAATGAATATGGACTAAATATTTGGCGTCGATTTGAATATTTATGTTTGTCATGATCATAAAACACTGTAGTAAAATGACAGATGAGTGCGATAAAATTATTATTGCACTAGTGCAATAAAGAACCAGTTTTTTCACTAAATATAGTTCAATAAAGTTTTGTTTTTTTGCATGAACGTAGAAAAAATAATTTAAAAAACTAGTTAGTGTGCATAAATCAAAATGTATCACACTAGTGTTTTATTTGCAGAAGGCTAAATATTCCTGCACCAGTTCGAAATTTGGCCACGAGTGCGAAAATAGCCTCCTGCAACATGTGTTTTTATACTATTTTTTCGATTTTTGGCTTTATTTACTTTCATTTATTTATTTATATATTTACTGGCAAGCCCATTTAGGTAACAATAAGTTGATAAAAATTACATTGGTGTATTTTGAATGTTGTGCTTAAATCTATTTACAGAGGAATCAAATATTATAATATTATCCAGAGAATTTGCCAGTCTAATTATCCGAGGAATACAACTGTTAAAAGTACTATAAAGTCTATAAAAAGGAATATAAAATAATTGTGATTGCCTGGTATTACGAGTAGGAACAAAACGATTAATTTTCGATAGAATTTCAGGACAATCATATCTTCCATTAACAATATTAAAAAGTAATATCAGGTCTCTATGTTTTCTCCTGGTTTCTAGAGACGGTATTTCTAAAAACTGTTCCATTGTAGCATAATCATAAAAAATTTGTAATTTAAAGGCTATGTACATAGGAAATTGTTCTGAACGCGATCGATTTTTAATTTATACGTTCCATGATGTGGGGACCATATTGAAGAGCAATAGTCGAGGTGACTCCTAACTAAAGTACAATAAAGAGTTTTAATAGCAGTTATATCAGTGAAGTCGCGGGTCGTTCTTTTAATAAATCCTAACATTTTCATAGATTTACTTGTAACTGAAGATATGTGGTGGTTGAAAATAACTCCAAGATCTTTAATTTGTTTAACACTATCTAAAAGTTGGCCATTGATTGTGTAGTCAAATATAGTGGACTGTTGAGAACGATGGAATCGATTAATGTGACATTTTCCCACATTTAAATCCATGCTATTGTATTTGCACCAATCGGATAAATGTTTAATATCATACTGTAAATCGATATTTAAAGTAGTGAATGTCAACTGAAATTTCAAAAAAAAAGTCTCCAAAAATCGTTGAAGAATGAGCTTCTTTATTCAACGATTTTGCGTGTGAGAATATGACATTCTTACACAAAAATCGAGAATAGCTATTTGTGTATTAAGAGCGAAAAATTATATTTTGCTGCTTGAGACAGAAGTTGCTCGCGTAACGCGTAGCTGAGAGTGGCAATCTGTCGAAAGCGGCAAACAACTTTTTGCTCAAAATACACACAAGATTGTTTCTACTTTTTAATGTGATATGTGATATTTACATGCAGCGCGAGTATGTGAACACGTCGCTCGCGCTGCCATTGCTCATGCCACTACCGCTGCCGCACGCCATTATTGCTAGGAATAATAGATAGGCACAATAGCTGCATGTAAATAATCACTTGCGTCAAAGGCTGCATTGGAATTACTCAGGGCAGGATAGCGGGCAGCGCGAGTAGCAGCGGCAGTGACTGCATATATAGGCCGTATTAAGAAATAGATATAAAAACTGAAAATGTATCGTAAGTAGTGCATAATGTGTTGCCTATACCTACGTTAATAATGAAAAAAGCAGTTAATATTCAGTCCATGTTAACTTGGATAATATAACAAAAACAAACATCTAACTACGTACAAATAACTTCAAAATCATTTATTAAAAATAAATATTATTATAGCTTATTTAAATTAGACACGCAACAAAGCTGTCAAGTTTTCTGCTCGGCAAGCGACAAAGCTGCCACTTATTGTCAGTTCGTGGAAAAAGTCCAGTTTGCGGCTGTATTTCGAAGCGCAAAAGCCTACTTTGGATACCGATCGTAGAAAAACAACTTTTTGTTTGTTTGTCATATTACATAATCGTGAATTATTTATTACAAACGTCTCTGGACTTTACAGCAATTAGTTTTGATTCAGCCTCTGCTTCAATATCATTTGAAACTTGTTCTTCACTCGACATTTTTAACTGTGGTGCTCAACTTACCAATCAAATTAACGGTCAACAAACTTTTTTTTAATAAATACCCCAAGTAAAGCATTCACAGTTATTAAAATCTAATCAATTAGCAATTTTATTTTAATCTAACTTATTTAGGGATGAAAAACTTCATAAACAAAGATTCTACTCACTAGTGTACTTTAATTATTTACTTACACTAACGTTAACATACAGCATTAAACCACACTATAATTTGCTTTTATCTAACATCACTGAACCAACTCAAAAGGCTTGATTCTCTTGAGTCTTATTACACTGATATTGTTGAGGAGCTGGATAATCTCAACGTTCCCATGTTGGAGCAGCCATTATTAGTAACTACTAGCAAATTTTTCTATTGTATTTTCAACAGTTTAATGGTTTCTATGAAGATCAGTATTGCGGTAGTACCAGGGTGCATCGATAATATTCCTTAATACTTTATTCTGGAAAGTTGAATAACTTGGATGTTACTTTTAGTGGCCCACAACCTTAAAGCTAGATACCGTATGTCCATACGGATATGAATATCTGCCTGTAAATGAGTAGTTTGTTGTATGTAGCTAATTGGGAATTTTTGCCTAGCAACCTACACATTCTCTTATATTTTATACCAAGCTGTTAGCGTTTCGTTTAATAGAATTTTCCAGCGGCAAAATGGAATGGAAGTATCGTATATTCTAATAGTAATATATTTATTTTGTTTATTACTCTGAAGTTAATATGGACAGATTTGATTTCATTTAATTTATTCGCCGTCTTTTCGTGCAGGTGTTAATATGATTTATAGATTATTGCAATTTTCTATTAATATCTTTGTCATTTTTTCCAATAGCTAGGATTACAATACACAATACAGTACACAACAAGTAGAATATTGGAGCTAGTACATAACCTTGAGGTACTCCTACCTTAATTTCTTTTGAGTCGTAATAGATTTCCTCCTGTTTAATTTTAAAATACCTTTCTAATAAATATGATTTTAATAATTCTAAGTAATGATGTTGCAGGAAAAAATCAGTTTTTTAAACAGACCTTCATGCCACACTAGGTTCTTTCGTTTGTTTCATTGGTTTAGGAATGAACTACAGCAACGGACACCATACCTTTCGTTTAGCCCGGTGTAAAATCCACTAACCTTTCGATCGGCCTTGTGATGTCTACTGGTGAATACTTGCTTCACCAGCTATTTGGCAGAAGTGAATTGCACGCGACATGTGTATAAGAAGGAGTGAAGTAAACTAGGAGAAACAAGGTGGTCTTACTGGTGTAATTTACACTGGTGGACACTGCAGGAACAGCGAACGAAAGAACCTACTTTGTCGAAAGCCTGAACCACATCAAAAAAGACGATGAAGCGTACTCTTTTCTTCTAAGGATTTCTCGCTGTAATTCTATGAACTTGGTCAACGGTAGAGTGTTTTTCTCTGAAGCCAAACGGGTGGGAGGGTCCTTTTCAAGATTCAATCTCTTAACAGACAACAAGGAGATGGGTCCGTACGATGTAAGTTTATGGGGACGCTTATTTGGCTGAGGTATCATTAGAACTTCGCCCCTTTCTACTTCATTGGTACGTGCTTTAGTCTAATGGACGCAATAATAGGAATGGTCATTTTGTCAATAGCTTCCCCAATAATGTGGTGGTGAATTCCATGGGTTTTCTTCGGATTTATATTTGTTTGGATTTTTATTTTAACTTTTTTTGGAGAGGTAGGTTTAACAACTATGTTTTCATATGCTAGTTTCATGCAGTCTTGAAGATCTTTACCATTACTGGGTCGGACCGTACTCTCTGAAAGTTAATCAAATCTGATTGCTTTTTGCAATGTTTTTCTGATCCAGATTCCAACTTTGTTTCTGATTGGTGGGTTATGTATAGTAGACATTTTTAATCGTTTGATAGCTTTTCAAACTCACCTATTTATTTTACAATCGACTCATTTTTAATATACCGTATTTTATGTTTTAACTGTTGTGTTGATTGTTTGAATTTGTTTTATCATCTGGTGCTCTAGATTGAGATAAGATTTCTGATAAATATTATTGCCTTGCACTCTGCATTTAATTTCAGAAAAGTTTTGCCACCCTGCTTCTTGGTCTAATTTCTAATATTCCATTTTCTTACATTTTTCTGGTAAGGGTTCAATAATGTATGTTCCTGTTACTTTGTAGGTAGGTACTTTTAAAAATTACAT